AAAACAAATTGAGCATAACAAAAAAGCATAACAAAAGACATAAGGACCAGTATCTACTTCTCTTACAGTGGTGTCAGCTCACTCCTCACAGTCAGTGAGGCCATCCTTGACTTCAGTTCTAGGAATAGGATGATGGAAATGGAAAAGCACAGTTAGGTCATCACAGAATAACAGAATGCTTTGGGTTGGAAGGGACCTTAAAGCTCATCTCGTTCCACCTCCTGCCATGGGCAGGGACACCTTTCACCAGACCAGGTTGCTGCAAGCCCCATCCAACCTGGCCTTGGACACTTTGGAGATGGGGCAGCCACAGCCTCTCTGTGCCAGGGCCTCACCACCCTCATAGGGAAGGATTTCCTCCTAATCTCTAATGCAGCCCTGCCCTCTGTCAAGTTGAAGCCCTTCCCCTTGTCCTATCACTCCATGCCCTTAACAAACGTTCCTCTCCACCTTAGTCCTTTCTCCCCTTTCCTCCCTCTTTATTACTGCAACCAATTCAGAGTAAATTTTCAAAGTCACAGAAATTTCAAAGCAATAGAAATTCAACTCCTTTCTTTGAGAGACATCCTAATGACTCACAACTTGCCAACACTGCTGAATTGACCCACGTCAGAACCTTCCTCACAGCAGTCAGGTTTTTGGATACTACAGGGAAACTCCCTCTTTTTGGATACTCCCAGGGGAAACCATGAGACAAGAGGATCTCTTAATGTGGCCCTCCAGAGTCAGGTTAGTACCACGGAAAGGGAGAGGGAGGCTTTGATCACAATATACACACAATTAACTATTGGTGTAACAACAGTCCAAAGGGTCATTTAGCATCAGTTCTTTAAATAACTTACTTCCAAAAGTGCACCTAGTTAATCTCCTAAATCATTAGTCTCACAAATGACTCTTAACAAACTAATTTAGTTCACAGTCACTTTTGTGCAACTTATCTTGTACTAGCAGGACTGAGGTTTTATATGACTGAATCCACAAACTGTGGAATACAGAAAAGTCAAGGGAAATCTTGAATATTAATTGGTTAGGCAATAAACTCAAAAATAAACAATTATATTTATGCCAGTCTAAATAAACTTTGAAGCTTGAGAAAACAACTCTGTGAGTTCCAGAGAAATGAGGATCCACTGAAAGGAACATATTTCACAGGGACTAATTTTAAGGTTGTCCTAATTAGATGCTGTTCATTGTTACAAATACATGAGGTTTGATTAAAAGAAAGGTATCAGACATTTTTCCAATGCCACCAAAGTTGACTCTTCTGGTTACTTCAATGGATTTATAAATTGTTTTTAATTATTAGTACCAGGTTATTTTACCTTTATTATTTAACTTCTATTTTATTATTTAACTTCAGATTCAAAGCAGTTCTTTTCCCCACTGCACCCTCTCTGCAAAACCTAAATCAATGCAAGTAGCTGTGGAATGTGCACAGCACCAACCCCAGGCAAAGATGTATAGAGGGAAAACAGCACAAAACCATTCAAGAGCAGAAACAATAAATTCCTGGGGAGTTCAAAATAAGGTCCAGGGAATTCAAAGCAAAAGTCAACAGTGACTTTTCATATATTAAGGTGTTTCTGCCAACCTGGAGCATGACTGTGCAAAGTGTCTGGCTGTGGGTTTTGTGCTGCTTTGTTTTCTTTATAAATATCCATGTGTTGTACGTGTTGCAGCCATGTCCAGCTTTCTGATCCAAAACTTTCCAGAAAGGTGACACCAACCAAAGGGACAAAGGCCAAAGCAGCTTCTGGATACACCCTGGTTTAGCCAGTCTGGATCACAGTCAGTCATGGGAGAATGTGCCCAATCCACTGTTTGCCTTAACTTCCTGGGATACTGTGAGGTATATGACAACATCAGGGAGAAATATTAAGAAAGAAGGAAGAAAAGGGAAAAAAACATCCCTATGGTCCATGGCATGGAGGTGTTGTCTGGGGAATGATACACTTCACTATCTTATACTCTGCAAGTACTGGAAGTCAAATGAAATTTAAGGAGCTTGTTTTAGAAAAGAAGATGCCAGTTCACACAAAGCACAGTGGGAGTCATCATCACAAGACACAGCTGGTGTAAAAAGTGCATGTGGGTTCAGAAAAATTAGCTAAATGTATAGAGCAAAAAACCTACTACTAATCAGACCAAAAATGAGTCAAACAGATTCCTGGTCTGAGCCAAAGCAGTTCTTGCAGCAAGCAGCAGCCCTTGCAGTCAGACAGGTGAAAATAGTTCCAGAAATACAGGTAGTGTTTGCAGAAAAAATCTGAACCACCTGTATGTATTAGCACAGGTTGGCAGAAAATTCTGGAAGAGCATTTTACAACAAAGCAACAGACTCTGGGATGCTTTGAGAGGGAAATGTTTTCAAGCAGGTCCCAAGACTGCACTGATCACTGGAGCAAGGAGTATCTTGGTAGGAAACGTTATTTCACGTATGAGAGAGAAAACATAAGCAGAGGTGAGGATTTCAGACAAATAAACTACTCAGATCCACAACACCTGAAACATGCTGACTGCATGTCTGGTGACATTCTGAAGTCGGGAAAGCTGGAGAGACCAAAGCCATGATCACATCCCGGCACAGTGTGGGCACTCACTGTGTAAAACTTTCCCAGGCAATAAACCAGGTCAAACCAGGTACAGTGCAGGCATGTTCTCAACACTAGTTGTCACAATTAAGTAGAAACATAATGGGAATTCCAGTTTCAACTCTGCAAAGCCCTCAGATATCCTCAGTTGAAAAGGACAAAATGAAACAAAACTAAAATGTTTCTTTCTACCTGCTAATCTTGCAACTCTCCCAAGGGATTTGAAAACTAAACTTCCTTTTTGCCAGTTTGTGTATTATCACCAGCTTAAGAAATAATCCTGTGATCAGAACAGAGTATTTTTTCCTTATGATATGTGAGTTGAGGCAAAATTTTACTCTGCTATGTCTCTGGGAACTGTGCAGTATTAGCAGGAGGGAAATACACTAAATACTAAATACAGAAAATAAAGATACAGCACAAAAAACCAGGAAGGACACATTAAGTACCATAAGTAGTTTTCCTGACCATACTTTTAATACCTGTGTCACAGTTTATTATCTATAAAATATTGGTAACAAAGAATCTGAAAAAGCTTCATTAATTTATATTTGTAGACCAGTTCAAGACATGCACTGAGTAATAACTTCTGCGTAAACTCTGTTGTAGCTCTCATTTGGAGAACCTGACATTCAAAATTATTGTAACACTTTTCTTCCTTGGCAAAAACTGAGTACACTTGCACTACATGAGGCTGAATTTGAGCTGCCAGAGGCCAACATGACCCTTTGCTGACAGCCCTAATGTCATGTAATCCACAGATCCATTATTGTGACCGGCACTAAAAACAAACCTTTCCTCTTCAGACAATTCCTTTCACCCTCCTATTTTGCAACGAGTACAGAAGCAGTAAGAACACTCCATCCTGTACCTCTCCAACGCTCAAAAGCTGAGCACTCCATGCCCAAATCTCAGCTGATTACAGCTGACCCCGTGGTAACTGTTGCTGTTCCTCTCCCCAGCTCAGGTGCTGCTGTGGATGTTGACGAGGTGCCTGAGCTAAGCAGGACAAGCGTAAGCAGTTTAATGGTGAGTCATTCCCAGCCCACTCAGGAACTGTCTCGTGAGCAGCTCAGCAAAGCACATACTGAGGGAAAAAAACCTCTCTTAAGGATAATAATCTCCTTATCTGTTATGTCAGGAGCTGAAAAGGGACACATGAACAAGCCCTGTTCGGTAACACCTTCTGCCAGGCAATCCCCGCTCCTGGCTGGCACGTAGGATCAGGTGAGTGCTGTGTCCTACCCACTGGCTCATGGAGGGAACAAGCCCTGCAATGCTCTCCCCTTTAAACCACAGCAATTATGGCAGAGGGCTTACACAGCACACACTTACAGTCCTGGGTGGGCACATTTGGACACCCCATAATCTGGGTTTCCTGATCAGTCAGGTACTGATATCCCAGACCTTGTAATATAAAAATGTTTTAAACTCAATGGATCAGTTTAAGGTTTTTACAGCTTACATTTTATTATTTATAAAATGACTGATGTATGATACTCATTGCTCAAGAAGGGAAGAACTAGTAGATGGATACTGGTTCATCATTATCAACTTTCACTGTTGTCTATTATCATTAATCTGTCAGTACCTGCTTCTACCAGTTAATTCCTTTGACTCTCCCCAGTGTGCACCTTGTTCTGATATGATATCTCATGTTTGCAAGGACAGGAGACTTTGACTACTTGAAACTGGCAGCAAGTACTTTTGGGCTTTGTTAACGTGACAGCGAGAATCACTGAGGCCAAACGTAAAAGCCAGGCTGGAGGAGGTTATAAAAAATTCAAGTGGCAAGTGTCTCTCCTTTTATCTGACAGTTGTTATTAAGAGGCTGTTTGTCATCTGTGACACACAGAATTTAAACACAAGAGACAGAGGTAGAGCTCCACATTACAAACAGGGCACCTTCCCTCTACAGATGGTTTATTTGCTACTGATGGGACAGAACTAAACTGCATCTTTAACTGAAGAGTTCCTCTGCCAGCAGCCAAAGCCATCACATCCCCTCTCTGTTGGATGCGGTGCCTCTGGGACTCCAGCCCACAAGTAGCACCTACACCCCTGTAAGCATGCCCAGATACAAGAGCTGGAACAGGAAATACACCTCCATAACTAAATCCCAGGATACTTCAAGGACTCATTCATTACCTGCACCTAAATTTGTATGTATAGCAAATCTTACAGAAGAAAGGAATATGAAATGTTCTCTCAGGAAACATGCCATTTCAATTAAATCAAACATCTTTCTATGTAATTGAGAGGAAAAAAGAACAAGTTAAGCCTGGCCTTACTTTACACACCTTGGAGTTCAACACCAAGGCTGAAGACTTTCTAGAAATCTCATTCTCAGGAATTAACGAAGGGCATTAATCACTAGTAAAAATGCCCCACAATGTGAACTGTACTCACCTCCTTTATCCACAGCAGTTTAGGCGGTTGCATTTCCACAGACATTGCTCCCCCTACATAGTTCAAAACTCTGTGTTGTGTTGCATTGATGAGCTCGACTTGACTCACTGCACGATGATCCATCCACATAATAACATTCCTATGGTTCTGTCCTGGGGAGAACAAAAGGAAAAAAGAGATTATTTTAGGTCTGGTTTAACCCCACCTCAATACTGTGAGTTACCCTGAGCTGCTTCACACTTTCACTTCTACATCGGAAACTCAAATTCTCTTTGAGCTAATAATCCACACTAAGGATCTAAAAATAACATTTTAGCCCTCTGAGCCAACTTTAAGACATGCTGAGCAGTGAGAATGCTGACAAACCAATCAAGCTTTGAAGCATCCAAGAACTTTGAAACACCATGCTCTCGTAGACTGTACTTCAGTCAAAGAACCCAAACTTCTTGACAAAGTTCACATTATTAGTTAAAAATATAAAGAAGCATTTTGGTGACCAAGGACTAAAAATGCGACAAAATCTGAACAACTATGCTGTAAATTGAAATGAACTCAGCTAGTCAGCTAGCTAGACAGCTACAGAGATTCTCTTTCCTCTTCTGTGCTTATGGGCTGAACTACCCTAATTTCTTTCAGAAATACAGTTTCAGGGGGAATAATTTGAAACTGCCTGAAACCTCACCACTACATGAAAGTATTCAGTGAATTCTTGTCTTCTTGTTTAACACCATCACTCACAAGTTCCATGGGGATATCAGAACATCAAAAGTAAGAACTGAATTTGACTCACTAGACCAGAATAGCCCCAGACATCATTAGGTATTGAACAGATTGTAAGATACTCTGAAACTGAAAAATAAATAATCTCATCTAAATTTAGAGAAAGACGTTTTGGGGGCAAAGCTTTGAGGAGGATAAGAGGACATGACAAATATATCTGAGAATAGGAAGAGAACATACACAGAATTATGAGTAGGTCTCTGTAACTACTGATTTTGCACACACCTAATCTTAAATAGGATTCATTAAAAAATAAAGTGCAACAAAGACTTTGAGTCTTCTGAATCATCAACTCTAATAAAATCCATCAGATTTTCAGAAGAAGGTCACAGTCAGTTTCTGAAGTTTAGCACTGTCCTAGACAAAGACAGAGCACCAGTATAATAAAATACACAACTGAACCTCTTGCCTGCAGCTTCATGACAGAGCGAGCAGTTGGACTACACTAACACCAACATTTTTAGGATTCCTTTGCCAGTGTGGATGGGCATTTATACACACTACAAAAGCCATGATCAGCAAAGTCTGAAGGAGGAGAAAACATGCAGAAAAGAAAAACGAGCCTATATTTCCCTAAGAAGCAATTTCTTTGAGCCAAGATTAATTAATTTGATCTTGGGATGCCAAATACTTAGCCAAACAGTAATTCTCATCCCAAAATTAATTTTGCAGTAGAATTAAAACAGTAAAACCGGAAAAAAAATCCTCTTGTAAAAAAGGTTTTGTGTCATCTCCATCTCCAAGAGTCAGCCCCAGCACGTGGATGAAATGGAAAGTTCACTCCCACCACTGGTAGCACACACACAGCAACACCATTTTTTGTGTGCAGTCCTACCTTCACAGTTGACTGCCAAAGGTTGGAACTGTTTATCCAGAACAACAAGAGAACATGTAGCATCAAAACCAACCCCTCGAATCTGGGCAGCATCCACTCCACAGACAACCTTCTGAAAATACACAAAACATACATGAATACAAATGTATCCATTCATATGCAACCACCGCTGAACTTCCCAAATCTTGTTCGTGAAGCCTAGCCATGGATGGACTACTGAACTAACAAGGACAGAAAATGAGTTACAAGTTAAAAATGCAAGCTCAAACTGTGAAATTCTTTATATTTGGTATTCTTTAACACTTCTAATCAAAAATACATAAATTACAAAAAATTCTTTGGTTCTCAAAACTGAATTCAGAGGTCCTTAATAGTTTCTTAATTTTACTAGCCACAGTCCTGGATAAAGGAGGAAGCACAAAAATATCAGAAAATAAAGGTAGCAGAAAACCAGCAACATTTATTTTCTGTTTTCGAAAGCGTAGAGTTGAGCTGCACGTGAAAAACGGACACAGGATTAGGGCCCTGTGTTTCCATCAGTTACTTCACTCAGTTCCCACCTCTGGAAGCAATAAATATTCTAGAATTGCTTTGGTTATATTGAGCCACAGCTTTTTGCCTTGCAACACTGAAGGGTCCCAAAAATAAAACCAGTCAAAACCTGTAGCAGTGATAACACCTCTGCAATGCGCACCTTTTCTCTCTGACCAAGAGTTTGGACATCATACTTTTTTGGAAGATTTTCAAAAAAAAAAACCAACCAAACCCACTGCCCCGAAATGCTTTAACTTCATGGCTTCCAGCAGCACTGGAAAAAAAAACACAACACCCACATGGATTAAGTGCCAAAGGAGGTTGCAAGACACCTAAAATGAACAAGAGTAATAAATTGCCACTTCTCAGCAACAATAAAAATATCATTATTTTAATTAGTACTATAAGGAAAGACTTTCACTAGACTTGCTACAGTGCCAGTCTCTCACTGGCTCTGAAAAGCCATAGTTTCAGAGACTGTTTTATTGCTCACACATCAGAGACTGCATTTAAAGGGGTCCAGAGCAAGAACAAAGCAACTCACACAAAAAAAAATCAAATAAAGAGTAAGACTTGCTTGTCTTTAACAACAAGCTGTTCTTCCCTATCACTCCTGTCACTCCCTTCTTTCCCTTCCTTCCCCCTCACCTCCTCCTCTCCATCTCAGGGCATTTCTACAGAGCCAAGCTCATTAATGTTTGAAAAGGCTGATCAATAACAAGACAATGGGTGAACTGTCCATCTGCAAATTACCAAGCCCGTCATGAATATTTCAAAAGCCAACCCCAGAACATGGAGCAGGCCTGGGCTTTACTAAGGAAGATGAAATGGCCTCTGTGTGCACTGCCAAGCAAGGTCACAGATTTACCTTTACCGCCAGCAGGTACAGGCAGAGCCCTGGATCAGTGGGTACAAATCTTCCCCCTGCAGTAAGGTTTATTTCAATCTGGGTTTATGCTTGATGTTATCCACAAACATTTGTCATTTATTGTGGTTTTACAATACTGGATCCTCTTATAATGAGGATCACAGGTGTTATGCTGGGGACCGTCCACAAACCAGATAATTTCTATACAATAAATGCTCCTTTGTGACTCCAGTGCAGTATGAGCACATCTTCAAATATATGCACTGCCAGGCTCTAAGCAACCTTGACTCCTCAAAGAACTGTCTCATGGGTAGAACAAACACCAGCAAAACAAACCCCACAGATGCGAGACCTGAAGGCAGTGGGTAAGTCCTCCCCCTGCCATAACAGTACAAAGAAGGGCCTTTCATTCTATTTGCAATTGTAGCAGAAGTTTTTCTTTCTCTGGCCTTCAGCTCCTCACCAATAAAACAGACACTGTGAGGCTCCATCATCCTCAAGGTGCTTTAATGTACAAGGACAGTTACAAGTTACACAGCACGAACTGACCTGAAGGGAAGTGACACACAGGGACTGCAAGACCTTAAACATTCAAAACTTGAAGAACTACCTGCAACACAAATCCTTCATTTTCTTTGTCTTTGCCCACCTTTGTGACTGAGCAGCAGGCAGCCCAGATGTCTGCAGAGGATTGCTCATAGTGGTCTGGCTGGGGCTCCCAAATTTGGATGGGCTGCTCCGCATGTGCCACCACTGTCCCACAGCCATCGACCAAAGCTGCTCGAACACTCGCTGAGCCAACATCAATCCCAACATAATACCTGGCTGCAATCTTCTCACTGTGCATTCTTAATAAACCTGTGGAAGGAAAAAAAAAGGATTAAAAGCAGATAAAACGACTGATGATGGAAAACTGTGCTGAACAGGGCAGGAGAGAGGCTGTACAGGCACTCCACAGGATAACTCATTTTTGCAGCAAGTCTTCACTTGGCAATTTTTAATTACTTTGAGTTTTCAAGTCTTTCACTAGTTGTACCACTTTTCTTCAAATGTTTGCACATAAGCTGCATGGCACAGAAGCTCCTGAAAAGCAAACTGTAAATGTGCATGTAAAATATGCAGGCAGTGATAAACTTCCTGCACTCATACAATGAAAATGTGCTGTGGTCACAGAGTATCACATCTACATAAAGGGAGAAAGAGGCAGAGAGAGAGGAAGGGAAGCAAAGGTTGTGCTAGTGCTTTACACACAAGGGAAATTTCAACCCAGAGGCCCCTGGGTTTTCTTGGCAGATGGGGATGCTGGTGATGCCCAGAAACCTGAATTCCCCTCTGGACAAGACAGCCAGAACCACCACAGGTCATTCACTATCTCAAAGCAAACAAATTCCACTCCTGAACCAGTGAAAGAGGGGCCGGGCCGGGCTCCACTGAGCCCCAACCTGGAGGGGAACAAGGATATCAAGAGCTGCTGCCTCCCATCAAACCAACCAGCTCCTGAGTGACATTTTACTGCTGAATGGGACAGTGAGTCAGGTTGGAGCTCTGCAGATTCTGGAAACAGTTTCCTCTTCCAAAAAAAAAACTAGTGTGATGCTGATAATTAAAGTAACCACGTGACAATCTGGTACATGTTACCCAAGGAAAAAGAAGGAAATAAAAAGTCAGGCTTTTAAGAGCTCTCCACTATCAATCCATCCAACTTTAAAGCCTCAGAAAATAATTTGCTGAAAAAGTGTTATGAGAGCATCTGAGGAAATCTGCCTACTCTCTGACAACCTACAAGAACAAAGTAAGGTTAAGTTAATTGATTTAATTATTCACAATGAGTTGCATATTTCACTATATTAACTGTTTGACATTTAATACAGTGACAAATTCACTGTTCTAAATTTCTCACAGTTTGTTCTTCATTAATAGTTAACATTTACATTTTAACCAAGCTGGGAGAATGCTAAGTAAGAGCTGGTACAAGTATTTGAAACGTCAGACAAGTACCAAGTTTAGTGCCTGTGTGAATCTGTTACGTCTCTGAACCACGTGAAACTCAGCTGACACACAGCTTCTGACTTCCAGAAAATGAATGGATCGATTACCACTTGATAAACACATGGTATTTACAGAGTATCAAAATGGCTCTAGTTAAAAACAGCCCACCTCCCCCAAATAAGTGACCTGGGTTACTTCTGGATGTGGAATAAGGGGTGGTTAGAGGGAGAGGCATAGGCAAAGAGGGAAAGATTGGAAAGAAATGCTTAGTAGAATAGGATTATTCACATTTCAAATTAATCCTTTTTTCTCTTTTTTAATCATAATTTTGAGTACGGCTCAGGAACTATCCTTGGCTGTCAGTCTGAACATAGCACTGCCCCAATACAGGTGGCTGTTCACATCCATGGCTGGCTTGTAACCACTGCTGCTGATGGATATCACAAATCTATAATCACTGAGGGTAAGAGGTAGCAGGTAAAATAAAGAAGAAAAAAAAAGGAGCCCTTTATCTCAGAAAACTCCAAACATGATTCTGGGTAATAATTAAGCAGTGTAACAGCTGGGCAAAGTTTCATTTGCCCTGAAAAAGGCATAAGACAACACCTTGGCAAAAGAAACCTACTGAGGCTTCCCCTCATCCCAGCCTTTAAATAGCTCATGGGAATATGGTCAGCTTGCAGAGATCTGATATCACACAATCATTTTGTCCTGCTTCAAGCTGGCACTTCATGCTTAGACCCCACTGCTGGGTCCAGGGACCATTTTTTGTTCTCTACTTGGACAGCACAAGGGAGTTCTATCCATCACTAAAACTCCTGAGCAGCCCGGCACAGACCAAAGCAGTTATGAGCTGCATTCTGCACACACCATGGCAGGGGCACCAGAGGAACCTGTACAGATCATCAGCTTCTAACAGTGTCAGAAACTAGGAAAAACTCAAAGCTACAGAGTATATTGTGGCTCCTCTCTGTGAGCACTGGCTCTGCCCAGCAGCTGAGGTGCCACACACTAATCTTGTTAAGCGAGGTCATGTGTTCCAGCGATGAGCAAGCAGCTAAAAATGGTGTGCCATGAGTTAACACTAAGGAATATTGGCAAGAAAGCTCCTTTATTTTCTTGGCCCTGGCTCTGTGACCTGGTCAGACTAACAAAAGCTGATGCCTCTGCCACAGAGGGGACGTGGGTGACTAACACTGCATCTGTCACCTGGGGGGACACGCGCTCGGCATCTCCCTCTCAGCCCTCGGCTGGAAAAGCAGTTTTAAGACGTTCCTTTCAAAAGATGGTGTTTGTTCACTTTTTAATTTTGCACTCCATCTCCTCAGAGCTCCAAAGGCTGGCTGCAGGTGCTGCTAGTTACTTGGGAGGTTTTACTATAAAGACATTGCACAAGACTGTTCCTGATACTATCTCACGAATTTCCCTGGTTTTCCCCTATTTCGGCACTGCCTTTAGCTGCTGACTCAGAAAAAATTGAGAATAAACCACAAGCTGCAAAACAGATTATTATTTTTTTTAAACACAGGCAAATCTTTCTTCCTTGCTTTTCACAAAATACAAATAGCAAACGGAGTATTTTACATCCTGTCTCCTGTTCACACACACAATATTACTCTAAATTTCTCTCCCTTGTAAGGCAGCCTTGATTTTAGCTCATTAATGTGTTTTTGCTACTTAGAGAACAAGCTTAACAGATGTTAGAGAATTAAGCTCACAGTACCTCCTACTCAGCACTTAAAATTATGGCTTTGCATTGGATTCTTCCCACAAACATTTGAAACCTGGAACCCAATCTGCCCATGTAATGTTTACTTTCCTTTTTTTTCCTTACTAAGCAGCCAGGATGTGCACGTGTGAGTGACTGGGCAGGAAGCAGAGTTTGTTTACGTGCTCCAGCAGCCCCTATCAGCCTATGCACATCCAGGAGTTTATTGCTGTAAATCAGTGCACACAGGAACCACTTAAGTGACAGAGTCCAAAACCAAGAACCACAAACCTATTTTAACTGGTCTTCTCTGAGTAAAGCTCCCCTAGATTCACAAAGCAATACTCCATGTCTTATGAAAAAAAGGTAAAAGTAAATATGAATATTTTTTTCAAGCACTGAGTTACTGAGGCTGTTCGAACTAAATAGGATCTGCAATCGGATCTGATCTGCTTGCAAAAACATCATTTGATGCCAAGGGTTTTTCTGGAATACCAATGGCTTGCTATGCCACCTACTTATCAAGCACATCTACGGAAAGCACTGTCATCTCCAGGTCATAAATGTCACCAATTATGGACTCTGCCCAAAGGTATTTCTCAAGAATCAGCAGTCAGGCTGGTGGAAAATATTTAGCCAAAATACTTTCAGAAGAATTTTAAAGAGGAATGCTGCCATTCTGTTTTGCTTCCAGAAGATTCCTTTGGTACATGAGGAAGCTCCAAATGAGAAACCAAGAATCTCTTTAATGTAGTTCAGAGGTAGCAGAAGGTCCCAGGTCCAAATTTCTTGATTTGGAATATGGACACCAACTTTCATTGCCACGTGCAAAGAAAACTTTGTTGTGCAAAGAAAACTTTGTTATGCAAAGAAAACTTTGGTTTGGGTTTTGTATCTATTGGATTCTCAACATACAGCTTCTGCAGGCAATGCAACTATGAGGAAAACAGCAACCCAGAAAAATGATTGAAATAAAACGTCCTAAAAGACTAGACAGGTCCATTCCTCACATGCAATATTCCCAACATGACACCAGAATATCTGATGCAGGGATGATACATGTTTATGTACTTCCAAGTGGTGGAAAGCAGTGGAGATAGAACCTTTTATCCCCTTGAAGTATCTAACTCAGAAAGCCAAGAGCAAGTTTGCAGCCAAGAAAAAAGGCCTCCAGCACTTTAACACAGCCTTGTCTGTCCACTGCAGAATTAGGGCCTCATATTTACAATTTATTAATTGAATTTGCAAACAGAAGGTGAGGGACAGAGAAGAAAAATAAAATTAAAAGCCATGTTCAGCTTGACTGTGTTAATCCACGACTGTAACTGCTAAGGCAGGACAAGAAGCCAAATTTCCCTCCAAGCAGTAAACCAGCAATGGCCTCTTTCTCTGCAAATCACAGCAGGGACAGAATGGCTTTTCAAACAAGCATTTATGATCAAAAGGCTACAGCATATGATAAATATTTATATGGCCCATTAAATAATAGTCTGTATAAATATTATTCAAAATGTGCATGCTGGAAACCACAGACTTCCCAGTTTATCCTTATACAAACGTGTTAGTTTTCCCACATAGGCAATGAAAAAAAAAAAAAGGAGGGGTAAAACTCGGTTGCAAAAATATTTCTTTAAAAAAAAAAAAGAAAATCCTTAACACTATTTACTTTAATTTAAAAGGAATGACTAAGTAACCAGAGGACTGTTTCATTACAACTATTAGGCTCTGTCCTACTTCACTTCATGGTTATCAAGTTGCCAGGACATACCTTTCTCACATGCACACAGGTTGAAGCTCAGCTCAAGTTTTTAGCAGCAGCAAGTTTAGATTTGGTGGTGTTGTGTCCTTAAATACAAGCAATTAGGAAGGACGGGCATGTCTGTTTTAAACTTTGATCTTTGGAACGCTGCAGGCTGCCCAGCCTCGGTGATCATGGATAAACAGTATGTTTTTAGTAGTGCAGCTGTGCTTTTCTACGGATTACCAAGAAAAAGGTTAACAGGCTCAAATTAGGTTTCCTAATCTTTGTGTGAAAAGACCTAAATATGTTAAATAAAAGCTGCTTTTTGATTGTAGAAAGTGAAAGAATCATTTTTGACATTATACTGGAAATTCAGCACTTTGTTGGCTTTCTAGAGTTACAGTAAACCCACACACAGGGTGGTGGAGTGGCCATCTCTTCTTGAAAACTCCCTTTCCTCTTCCAGGTTCTGTAATCCCTGTTTGAATTTGAAAAGAGAAAGAAGGCACATGTCTGTGTGGGAGAGTAGGAGCAGATGGGGAATTCTAAGGCTGTGTTGAAGGGCAGTACTAATATAGAAAATACCCTTCAATGCCCAAGGGACTGTGCTATAACTATCAACAAGCATTTATTTTTCAGCTACCAGACAGCAAACAAAACAAAAACAAGGAACAAAAGCACACCTCATATCTCCCCTTTTCCCTTCCCAAAACAGAAACACCTACATGCAGGATCTCTGTCTTCAGAATGTGAGGACAATGTTAGCAACAACAAAACTGGAATAAATAAAAACAGAGCTGGAGAAAGTGTGCTTCTTCACTAAAACCAAACACCTCTAGATTCTTTTATCCATTCTCTGGTATATTCTGTGGAGCTTTCTCACATCTTACAACAAGGAAAACCAGCTTCAAATAGCAGAGACTTAATTTTAGTAGTAGGATCCAGCCCCATCTCCCAGTCCCATAATACCTAGATTGTTCCACCAAAACCTTCCTAACGGTCCCTCTAACATTGTAATGTAGCCTCAGTAAATCCCACCACAGGCAGGACTGAAAATATTCTACTGTTTTCTAGTACCTCCTTTTCTCCCTATAAATAATTCACTATGCACAAATCCTCTGTAATGTCTCTCCATATCTTTTTTCCCCCTCACCCTCAGTGTCCAAGACAAAGCCATTACTTCACCAATGCCTTCTGCCCTTCAATTCTACCTCTTGCATTTTAAATACTTTCAGGCCAAACTACTTCCACCTGCTCTGATATAAAGCAAGATGTATCCCAGTTTATCCTGGTGTAACTAATCGGCAAAGAAAGGAATATGACTATGTAAATTACTCTAAGAAAAGAGATCAAAAATTTAATTCTTTTCAGCTTCTACTGTCTACATAGATATCCCTCTCAGGAACAGCACAAAGATATCAGTATGGCCAGTGTCAATAAATATCAAGCTCTTAAAACAACAGAGTTGTTTTTCTCTATATTCCGCTCTAGAAGAGATTTGTACTGAACAGAAGAATCCTGCTCTCCTTCCAGTTCCTGTCTTCAGTTCACACAGGCAGACACAGCCCGTGATCAAATAAGAGCAATGGCATTCTGGCCCCTGATTAAAGAGCAGAGCAGGGCTGTGCTGGGTCAGATGAAAGGTCCAATTAGCCCAGGATCCTGCCCCAGACAGCAGCAGCCATAAGAAAAGCATATGCCTGCCCTTTTCATCCAGCAGTCCTTCCCCGGGACACCTTCTTCCTCCTGCTATCTATAGTAGAGGCACTTCCTGAGCCAGAAATTTTATCTTTAGGATTAGCAGACCTTGAAGACTTTTTCCTCTCCAAATTTGTTTGTGCTCTTTCTGAGTCCAGGGAAACTTTTGTAACTGCAAACTACTGTGGTAATGGGTTATAAAGTTCTGTGTAAACAATGCAAGAAAAAGCCCTTTGGTTTGCTCTGAGTGTGCCACCTGCTAGTTTTGTTTGATGTGTCTGAGTTCCTGAGCTAGAGGAGACATTAAGCAATTGCTCTGTATTTACCTTCTCCATGCAGTCACGATTCCATGGCATTCTGAATCATCCCCAGAGGGCTCACTGCAACTCTCCACAGACCACGGGTGATGAGCTGAATTCGCAATCTCAACACGGTCAGATAAGTCAAAAAGCATTTTTCTGCTCTCTGACTGTTCATGGATGTGGCAGTAACAAGCACCATAACACAGTAAGCACTAATAAGCAAGCCAGAAATGATCCCAAAACCACTTTGGAGTAGAGATACAGCTCAAAAACAACGTGTTGGTGTCAACTAAGAAGTGCTGCTGTGGAGCATGGAGGTGGCTATGGAAGGCCAGGGATTTCCAACTTCAGGAAGTTCCCAAAACGCTGGCCTCCAGGAGCTCCTCACAACTATATGCTTGGAGAAGGCTTAGGGCTCATCTTGGCTTTCCTTGGAAGGAAGATCCAGGCCCCCCGGCAGCAGGCACAAGGATCATGCCCAGCACACCCCATGTCCTCCCCAGCCTGTGACTCTGCCACATAAAGGAAACACGCTCAGCTCCCTCTGCTCCAGTGCTCACCCAGCCCTGGGAACAGCAGGAAACAGCTGCAGAGAGGAGCTCTCAGGAAAAAGGAAGGCTGAGCAAAGGGCCACGGGAACACACAAAACCAGATGAGAAGACACAGGCTACTGGGAAACCCAAGGGCTTCAATTTCCTCAGGAGCTCTCCCAGCCCTGCTGGGACTGAGCCATCACTCCAAAAGCAGGGTCTGATCCTGCATCCATTAGTGCCAAATTCCCAGCCACATTAGGAGTTCAGGATTAAACTCCTGACACTTGTGAACATCACAGGTGCTCTCACAGGTTGGCAGCATTTTGAACCTTTGCCATAACCTACAACTTGTCAAGCAGAGGAAATGGTGATCAATTTATGTCAAGACATAATTCTCACACAGGAAAACCTACAGAATAAGGGGGGTATATAGAGCACCCTTTCCTCTCCACATCCTGGAAAGGGCAATGGATACAATCCACGCACACCAAGCTCTTTAGATCCATTCCCTGACCTGACGCTGCTCCCCCAGAGGCTGTGCTAATGATCTGGCAGCCAGACATGTCCCAAATGACACTGCAGGATGCCTGGAGCTCTGAAAGAAGACACTATCTTGTTTACATTGACTGAGGGGGAAAAATGCCATCTGATTATTACATAAATTCTGGCTGTAGCAGCTTCATGACTAGTTGAAAGGAGGTAACAGGCTCCAAAATGACTGATGGATCCAAGTGTTTGGATCCACCAGCTTATTAATCTAATGCTGAGAAAGATCTTTCTTATCCCTGTGTCTCTATCACTTTAACCTAACCCATGATGGACAGAAAGAACAATCTCTGTTCTTTCCCTGTAAAATTGAGACAGATCCCTGTACTGTGACAGGAATTTTTTTCATTCTCTTTTATGCTATAACAGAAATGGAGAAACAAATAAAAAACTCCAAACAATGAACAAAACATGCCAGAAAAAAAGAAGCATAAAATAAACACAGTTCTAGCACAATAATGTTAATTTGCAAAGTACCTGTTTAAGTTGTAACATGTAACATGGGAGTGGATGCAATTCAAAAGGCACAATTACAGTTCACGTAACAGCTTTAAACTGCATTCCTGGAGCAAACCAGCCTCGGCACCAGGAGCTTCTGTGCAGCATTACGTGGAATTCTGGGCAAATACAGCCATTATACTACTGTGGATACTGAATTAGCCAACTTAGGTTAATGCTGATATTCTAACTTTAATCCCATCTTTAGATTCCAGTGCTACATCATGGTTGAATCTGGCACTAGCCCTGTGATTACGTACCAGCAGATCAGTATAAAAATAATTTGTTCTGAGTTCACAGTTTTATGAAATGACAAAACATCAAAATTAGCATTCTGGCTGAAATCCACTGCATTTCCCATCAAGGCTTACACTTTAAGCAACATCTGAACCAACTGCCTATAATTACTCCTGGCAGATACTGGAGCACTTAGGCCAGCAGCAGATGCAAGAGTGAAATAAATTTTTAAAGACATGCTGCAAACCACTTCTTTCAGGATGCTCAGCCCAGAAGCAAACATGTGTCTATAGGCCGAATCCACAGTTTATTACACAGTATTTGTTCACTCTTGCATAGCAAAAGCCTGGGAAGAGTGAAAGCCCCAAGTAATTCATCAGTTTAAAATTAAACATTTATTTGGGCTGCAATTCCAAAAACACTAGCCCTGAAGTTCCTGTCACAACTACTTAAGAGGAATTGAGGTTGCATATTAACTTAGGTTAAAAGGAACACTAATTCTGCAGAAAAATCTGTTGTTTAAACAGATCATACATGTTAACTTGTCTACATCCCCTTCTTTTCTACAGGGAAAGAAGAATCACGCCTGTCCCTCTGAAGCAGTGAGTTCTCCCCACATACACAGCTGGGGAGTTTGGTTGGTTGGTTTGGTTTTACCAATGCAAAATCTGCCTTCTTAATGAGCCCACCAGTCTCTTAACTCCAAACTTCTGCAAAGCCAAGCCTGAAAAGATATCAGGCCTACAGCACTCTGTAAATTCCCTTCAACGACTTTCCCAAAACAGCTCAGAAGTCCAGAGCTGGAAAGCTCCCTTGCCTCAAACAGCTGAAGGTCACAAATTCTCAGACTTTATGAACACTCTGAGTAGTTTCCCTTTCACACATGGAAATGCAGAGGGGAAGCTGAAGGCAGCTCAAGACACCTTTCAAATGAAGCTCATTTCCAAGGCTGTGCCACTTCTGTTGATTTTGCACATCGGGCTGTTACAGTAGCAGGTAGCAGAGAAAAATGTCGAATCACTAGAAAAGCCCAAGATACAAAACAGAAACACACGGGAGAGCCGTTCTGATCCTCTCCCGTAAATCTACAAGTTCTTAGGAAACAGATTAAACTCTAACAGAATCAAAGGAATGTTTGAAAGAAGGATGACTTATGGAAAGAGAGAAAACAGGCTTATTGAAGTAGTACAAGAAACAAAATGGATAAGAGTCCTTATTTGGGAAGAGAATTTTTTCAAAAGAATCAACATTTTAAAATGGTAATTTAGCTGAGAAACACAAAACGGAGTAACAGAAGTGGCTAAGAATACACATAAAATCTTCCCAGCATAGAACTACTT